TGGAAAATGTCAACGAGTGTCGAAAATATAAGTGAAAAAAAAAACCGTATTGTAACCTGGGTTAGGAGGGACCTGTTGTCGGTGTCGATTACTGCAAGGCTAAAATATCGTTTGACGTAGACGTCTGGACCAAAGGAGATAACACCGGTAAAAATTGAAAAAAACGTTTGAAAGACATCATCTATTATTATAAACGTATAATGTAAAAATATTAATGGAATCCGATGATCGATTTACTTACCGTTGTACTACATACTGTCTGTTAAATATATACATATATATAGTCAATAATTATTATACATATTTTATAATATCTCGTTTAAATAACAACCCGGTTCAAGAGTAGAATGACAGTAACATATAAAATAACCGCACTAATACACAAAACAGGATGACAGTCTGGTATAAAGTTAAATGGATGTATGATATTTATATATGTAATGTGATATTATCACATATATTTTAAAAGTGCCAAAACACGGCGAGCGGAGTAGAGAGGAAGCAGATAGTCAGGAGAGCTGCCCAAATAGCTTGGAAACATTGCGAAAAATGATGATGATGAATGATGACACCGCCTCTGTAATACAGAGTGGTTTGGTTGAACTCTAGAGTGAATTTTTTGCGGGAAAAAATTATAAACGAGTAGAGTTTTGGAAGCATGAGAAAAGGTCACGCTGCAAAATATTTTATGATAAAATTGTCATTTTGGTTCTCATCACTTGTAGTGTACTAATAATTATATCATGTACAGTTATTGTAGATTATAATGTACAGTTATTGTAAGTTTTTAGTCCCCCTCAAAATCCGTGCCTGCGATTATTTCTTTACAGTGAATATTATATACCCAGATTCATTTTCATAATACTTCACTTTCTATTAGGTCACATACTTTCTGCTCTTCGTCCGGCATGTTATAACCACTAAAACTCCCCTATTCAATAAAAAAATAAATACAAATTGTGCGGTTTTCGATGAACATGTTGCCGGGTCGATGACAATAGTGGAAACTGTATTGACCGTATGGTCTGATTAAAATGTGTTCGTCACACATTAAGTCGACCGTCCGAGAAAGTTTCCGCTATTATATATATATGTTTATTCGTTAGTGGCAGATCGTTAGAAGGGTAAGTTCATAATAGTATGCGTCCCGTTCAATATTAATGTTCATTAAAACTTCATAGTCCACGACTCCGGCAGGACTTCAATTAGGATATAACTGTTGTTTGTACGGTGAAAAAAAACAATAAATCTTATCAAGTTAGTAATTTCGTAGGAGGGACAAACGTCTGGAACGCGCGCTTTTTCAATTCGAATGTACTTCGAACAGACTTCTTATTGTACATTTCTTACGACAGCAAATTGTAAAAAATCCTTTCTAGTCAAGATGTGCGGTTGATGACGACGAAAAGATCAGTTATGAAAAAGTACAAATATGTATCTATATATATATATGGATATCGGTTAGGTTACTGTTGCTCTTAAACGGGCTTTCGTCACGGTAAGCTTAACACGTTTTACAATAATGGCTATGCGCTACTTAAGAGCCTCGGATCGTTGGTCGTTTTTGTTTTCTTCAAAGAGGGTCGGTCTCCAGTGTAAGGGCACACGTTACGGCGACGGATTACTCCGGGGACCGCGGCCATGTCGGAGAAGGATTTAGGAGACACCCGTCCGGCAACGAGGTCCTTGCCGCAAATGTTTTCTTAGAGTTCAATTAATTTCGTCGGACCGACTTGTCCGTTTTGGTCACAAGATTAATCGCGTACAGTCGACCACCATAACCGAGGGGAAGGTTAAGTTTCCACTAGGAATAAACCCAACAACGTCTGACCGGTATACGACATTGGCGGATAATAATTGAGTATTTTCAGTCGTCTCGTTGGTTGTGTTAAAATTGTTCTTGAATTGTAATTTTTGTTGTATGATAAAACAAATAAACATTATTACGACAATACCGCATTTTTAAGTTAAAGCTGTGTTTTTTATTTTATCAAATTAGCTATTTGTCTTTACAAAAAATCAATAATTACCCTACAAATTATATAGTTTTATTTTTTAATTGCCTTTGAAGTTATGCGTTATTTTTTTTTTAAAATCAACTCGAGTAAGTTCATTAAATAAACATTAAATTTCAATTTAACTTTGTTGACTGAAAATTTAATTAAATCTAAACGTGTAACACAATCAAACGAACATTATCATAACCCAACAAAGTTAGTATAAATCATTTGCTTGGGTCAAAACGTTCTTGTGTTTTTCTTTGTTCATCATAATACTTAATTTTTAGATTTTTATAAAATAATGTCAGCGATTTTTTTATTATAACGCGGTGTTTTGTATTATAATATAATACGTGGCCGGTACTTTGTTTCTTTGATGAGGCTCTGGAAAAGTAATTAACTTTGCACTATTAAACCGTTCGAATATTAGCGTTTCTTTCTTGACAGCGGGTTTATATTGTCTAAAGTCGTGTTTGTATTTTGTTTGCTGGCCTCCGGGGTTTTCAATATTACCGTCTCTAACACATATTGTGAAACGAGCGCAAAACGATTTTCGATTGCTTTCCGAAATTGACTTACCGGCTGTTCTATTAATTATTTCCCAAACACGGTTCGACCTATCTCGAACAAGCCGTTAAAACGTCAGCCGGTCTGTGGCTTTAATATCGACGTCCAGCGCAGTGCACGACTTACAGATGTTATTTGTAATAATTTTCACCGTTACATTGGTAAAAACGCTTCTCCTGTTATACGTTTTCCGTTTACTGAAGATTTGTTGTTCCGTATTCCATAAACCAATAGCCTTTAGCGAATTGAATAGATTTATAGAACTGATAAAAGTTCAAAGAGGGTGTATCAGTTTTAAATTACATAAAATGATGTAGATGAGTATTTGTTTTTCGCGCGGCGCTATGTATAGGCAATTGTGCTACGCCAGCGTGTTAATTAATATACTATATTTTTTTTTTTTAACTTTTTAGTTTTAGTTGTATTTTTTTAAAACCGTCAATGCATAGTTCTTACTTTGAACAACAATCGACGTCCTTTTACTCTTATGATAAGTGCATTTCAATAATGACCATCAAGAGGCCTACTTCAGATACATTAGGATGTCAAGTACCGTCATTACTATGGCATAACCGTTTTTTTTTTTTTTAAAAGGCACTTACTTTTATATAAAATATATTTTTTGCTAAACAAATTAAGAGAACGTTATATGTATATTTTTTTTAATTTAAATTTTAAAGCGGACAATTAAGCGTCACATCGACGTCCAATCCCGAAACATTGCCATAATGATTGCGATTGGTGTTTGTTGCTATTTCGCTGCTAATTATGTTCTTATAATGGATGAGATTTTTCTTTTTTTTTTGCCGACCGAAAAACAAAATGTAATTTAATCGAATCGAAATAATGATTACAGCTGTTAGTCGAGTTAATAATATCATGAATTATGCATAACGATTTTTCTCATTATTCGAAAGACGTTTTTTTCGCAGTACAGAATGAAACCAAATTAAAAAAATCGAACAACAACTTTCCGAACTGTATTTAAATCAAATGGGCACGCACAGCCGAATTACAAAGAATAGAACTTTTTTACATTCAAAATAGCTTATTACAATAAAAAACAAAACGAAATAAAATAAGAAGAAAAACTAAATAAACTTTAGAGTTCGGACGAAGTAACGTTATTTAGCGAACACAGAACAGTTCTGTAGTATTTGACATTGTTGTGAAATTCGTTAACAATTTTTATTGAGTTTGATTCTCTTTGTAAAGAAAATAACGGATAAAAAATACGTTATTCAAACTTATCGCGCGCTGCAAGTAATTGTAATATTGTAATCACTATGTTCGATTAATAATTATTTATTTGACTACCTCATACCCGTATATAATAATGATATTGTATTCTTATGTGATAAAAAAAACAAAGTTAGTATCTGTGTTTTTTTATAAACCAAATTCAAATCTTTATCGTTACGCTTAAGATTTCTACTTAAATTAATAACAGCCGAGAAAACCTACAATGCCTCTGACAGTTTTGCAAAAAAAAAAAAAAATTAATTGTGTTTTTCTTTGTATAATTTATAAAATGTTTATTTCCCTATTATTATTTGTTTTCTTTGTCGCCGTTACACGCCGTTGTTTTTTGTTTCATATTGTCTTTATATTAATATTGAATTCATTTCTAAAGATTTTTCTGGAACAAGCACATTGTTGTTGTAGGTATTATGATGATAATGATACTCCGGTCAGAAATGCGGGTTTTTATGGTTTTTTTTTTTTTAATCAAATTTTTATCGAGTCTGCATATATAGCATACATACAGCGTGTATGGAGAATTCCGGAACGGCTTCGGACAACGGCAATTATTAAAATATGTAAATCTAATAATTGACGGGGAGGAAAGGAGTGGAGTTTTCCAACCCCTAAAATGCGTAATAAAAAATCGCGAATATCTATTTCGCATTTGGGAATAGTTTTGCCAATGTATCCCAAGAATCTGCGGACGTCGTTTATTGTTGCATTGAGCGCGGGGTCCGAATGTTTTGGGCAAATCGAAATTCCTACAATATAATTCCCGTCATTCCGGTGTAATCATAAGCCACCATAGCAAAACTCGGCATTGCGACAGCTACATTCATATGAATTATATATAGGCATTTGTTAACATAATATATTATTTAACACTGCAACTATTCGGCGGGGGATCGCCCACAGTTTGTGCACAACGTGAGACCAAATAGTCGCTACAAAGGCACGGCAGTGTTTGTCCAAACTATGGTTAAACATTAGTACATTGTGAATAATAGCGTTCGAATGAATAATATAATATTATCGTCTAATAGCGTTAATACGCCGTCGCTCGCTGTTGATATTTCCGAAACTCGCCGCAATTGCATAAACATAATAATATAATATATTAAACGGTCCGCGTTTAATCGGTCACCGGGTATAGGAGTAGAACATTACAATTTTTCGTTTTAATTTCAGAATTCGCCAGGAAAAGAACGGCGGCGCGTGGTGTCCCAAAGCCCAGATCAGCAGTGAAGTCAGAGAGTATCTGGAAATAGACTTGGACGCGGATCACCTGGTCACATGGACGGAGACCCAAGGCCGGTGGGGTAACGGGCAGGGTCAAGAGTTCACAGAAGCGTTCACCGTAGAATATTGGAGACAGTCGATTGGCAGATGGGTGGAATACAAAGACTCCAGAGACAATAAGGTAACACAATATGGGTTACGCGTTCGATATGTTTACCATGTTAGCTGTATACGAATATCGTGTGTTAAAAAAAAAGCATATAACGAATGATGACATAGTGTTCACATCAAAGATTTTACAAAGTTAAAAGGTAAAAGTCTTTATAGTTATGTTCACATATATTTCTCATCAAAACAACCGAAACTGATACAAGTTAACGTACAGCGTAAGGTAGTATCAATCAATGTATAACAACACGTATAAAATATTAACAAGAACAAGAACACAACATCATTTTAATACTAAAAATTTATCGAAATATTATTTAAATTTATACTAGAAGTTATCTATAGGTATTTTATAGGTATACATTTTTTAATTTTTAATGATACTTCAAAAATATCTATAGTGTAGCCGTTTAGCTATACATTACAACATGTCTGTTGATTAATGACCTGCTTATATTTAACAATTCACTGTGTAGGCGGAGATAATCTTACTCGCACTATTTCTGTACTTGACTATACTAAAATATTCTAAGATATTATAATAATATCTTGTTCAGTCTCAAAACACTGTGTTTTGGAGGAAGTAACATATTTTTCTTGAAAAGTTTTCTCGGCCATAAACTTACGGCTCGTTTATGGTAAGTTTCGAGAAGTTTGCCTCCACCCTTCGCTTTACCTTTTGGCAGCACTATGCAGACACTTCTGTAGTTGTCATATTTGGAGAGTGTACTAAAATTAGTTACAGAATTAAGTTTTAGGTCCTGTTTATTTTATCCGGAGTTCTCTCTGAGGTTCATTTTTGGTTAATTAATTAATTACGTTTATATATTATTTCGTCATCATAAAACTAGATTTTACCAATGAAATAATAAAATTACACTATTTTTTTGCAATTTACATCGATATTTTTCTAGATAAATGTCTAATACAAATATACATGAATATAATTTCTACGGCCTTTTGTAAATATATATATTCAGCTTATTATAGTTGTTACTACTATCTCATAAATAGTACTTTTTTTTTTTTTTTGCAACAGACGGCTATACATTGATACATTCGTTATAAATTTCTTTGTGCTTTTCCTACCTAATTTGGAACAAGGAAACATCAGCAAATTTCCCTAAACCGATTTTTCACGTTCTAGTTCAGCTTTGTATACTTTTGTAACAATACATTTATATTATTATTTTAATACCTACCTCTTTTATGTTAGAAATTACCATTTTAAATTTCCTCCTACTGTACGCGGTATCAATTCGAAACTCAAATGATATTTTATTTATGTTAACCTGCAGGTATTGCCAGGAAATGTAAATACCTATTTGCCAGTGAATCAAGAATTGGAATTGCCGTTCGTGGCCAGTCGAATCCGCTTTGTGCCGTTCAGTCAACATCCAAGGACCGTGTGCATGAGAGTGGAAATCTACGGATGTCCTTGGGAACGTGAGTAAACCTTATTACATTCAAAATTAAGATTATTATTTATTAAATTTAGTTTATGGTATTTAATCCTGAAAAACGGTATTTTTTTAATGTAAAACTTCATTTAATAAACAACGCGATTGATCTAAATGATAATAATCAAATGACAGATATAGTGGGCGGAAACCTCAACATCGTTTGTGTTTGTGAATCTCTCAACTGTTCAGAGACTTAAGGCTACTGGAGAAAGCCGGCCATTGTTTCTAAAAAACAAAGAACAAATAGGTCGCTAGACATGACGAGTTACTGTGGATGCGTGTCTGTAAAGATGATGACGTTTTCCTAAATTAGGTTAACTGTCTTACTTATCGAATGACGTAACACGGTTGAATATTCCACAGACAACATAATATTATTATGTAGGCGACGCATATTGAAACACAGATAACTGACAACCGCACGCTTTTGACATAATATCTTTCATGTAGAATTACAAAACGGTGAACGCTTATTATATACATATATGTATAATCCACGCTATATTATCATTTATACTTCACAACGTGTGTAAAAACATGCAAAACGATTGCGACTTTACACAAAGGTAAATGTCAACTGTATTTGGCTAGATCACCATACGAAACTTTTCTAGTTGACGACGACAATGTGAAAAAAATTTCAACATTGGAGCTAAAAAATTGTGACTGACAAAAAGTGCGTCAAAGGCTCTTGTTCGTGTGTGTGTGCATGTGCTCTAGTGAATAATATTCGTAAACGTTTTTCGTACAACTCTCGATACACACACACACACAGAGTTGACTAATGGAGCCTTTGAACGGTAACGGACGTTCATATAATGGGGCACGGTTCCGCCCCCTGCAGAGCTTCCCGCACTGGCCTAACCCCGTCGTCGGTCTTTTACAAAAGATACCGTTTTCAACCTTTAATACGGATTATATGACATGGGTGTGCTGTATCGTTGACGGGGTTTTTTTTTTTTAAACTGGCCAGCCAATTATTTATTATACATTTATATATATATATATATAATTCTAATTGGACGTTTCCAAAAGCCGCACAAAGGACGCGATCCCGTCCCATACAGACACAATTATAAGCGTTGGTGTTTACCAATAATAATCGTTATTTCGGAGTTTTTTTTTTTATTCGAGCTTTATTATATACAATCCATTATATTTGTACACAATGACGATTTAGTACATATATATGTACATATATATATATATTGCTCTAGCTAATGATATCCGTCCGAATGTTTCGATCAATATATATATATGGTTGTGAGCTTCCACATATAATAGGGTTCACAGCATTTAAATTGTACTACAACGTCTATCGAGTCGAATCAGTTCGTTTACACCAAGTCAGAAAACCAATATAATACACGCTGGTAGCTGTTTTTTAGTATTGGCGTGAAAACGTTACATTAGTGCAGAGACACACAACACTGTTGGCGTTTGATAACGTGCCAAATGACCCAATATTTTTTTTCCTTTTTTCAAACTAGCTGTTTACTAGCTATAACTAAAAAATAAATTTGTAAACTAGAAAGTCTATTTAAGTCGGTTTAGTCCATCCTTATGTGTTCAATTTTTCTAAAAAGTAGTCATGCTACAAACTATCTTGTAAAAGTCTAAATTACTGGAGTCTGAAATTTCCTAACCATAGTATATTTTTAAGCTTGAAAAGTGTAGTAAAACATGTATTCAGTTTAAACAAAAACTATTGTCTAAAATCAGTATTTATACAATTAATTAAATCCAAAAAATCATTTTTATGGTTAAAATTTCTAATTTAAATAATTTTTTAACTGGTATTATTTGAATAAATCAATTTCTTCGTTACATTTTGGATGATATAAAAAAAAGTTTTAAAAAAATAAATGCTGACAAGAAGTCATTATTGTATTATTTTTCATAAAGTCCTAAGAACCTGTAAGAAATTATACGGCTTCTGGAAGTTTTGACTTTTTCCGAACTTAATTACGTTGTCGTTAAATTTTGATGTTATTAAGAATTATTTTTATTGTTATAAAAAGCTTATAAGCCCAAATTAAATTAGTAAAGTTATTTTCGACTCAAGCTTTTTGTTATTGTCTTAAATGATTTTTAAATTAGACAAATCAGGTGAACAATGGAGCAAATTGTTTTTTTCGTTTTGGTCTTACAAATTTCATACTTATATTAAATAATATTATTATTATAAGCGGTGTTGGACAGTGGTTGAAAATACATTTATTTATTCTATTCACAAAACCGACTAGGTGTTACACTGTGCGTTTTCAAAATCATTTTACTGTAATAGATTATATGTATTGTTGTGCAATTAGAGTCAAACAGAAATTACACGGAATCATTGTGACTTCCACTATATAATATAGTTAGAGTTATGTAGTCATCAAGTTAATTCGTAAAATACAATATACGACTACTGTCTACTTCATTCTCCAACTAAGTTGTCTTCTCTCTGGCTAGCGGTTATTTACGCGTGAATTATATTCGAGTTTCTATTCATACACTTGTACAATAAAACCTAAGCGGCGTGGGCGCTATAAAGGCGTATGTACCCTCGTGCAAGGGCCAACACGGTTTTATACCTTAATTTAATTCGCACTGTTTTTATACATAGGACACATAGACATTTTTTTTAGAATGATTGCTATGCCATAACAGGGCGCTCATTCTATATTTATTTTTGTAACGCAATATAAAATATAATTTGCCAAAAAGTTTTGCCACGTGTAAGGGGTGACTCAAAATGAATAGAATTTTCTACTAAATGTCCGTAAGTCGTACAAACAATTGGGGTACCCCGAAATTAACCAAAAACAATATTTACAGTTCTTGCAAGGCTAATATGGAAACGTATAAAGGTCGTGCGCTATCGGAAACGAGTTAAGCCAATTTGTTGTGGCCGAGCGTTGGTTATGACGTTTATACCCGCCGGACGTTTTCCACAGTACACAATAATATATTATAAACATAATAATATCGTTATTGTTTTGCGGTGGCAATATCTTGACTTCGTGTCACGGTGTTTAAATTGAAACGCCGTCTGATCTCCAGCATGTCGGCGCGATAAACAGGGACCGCTCCATTCGCCCGGGATATATTATTACTGTTATAATAATATATTATTACTATTATTATTAAACGTACAGTGCACGGGCTAAAGCGATTATTAGCGGCCAGAATCACGTACGACGTAAACTTTAGCCGCCACACAGACTAATATTGTTCTTCTGTCGGCTACCCGACCACACGCACATACAGTCCCTCCCGTGTAACTTCTCACGTCCGGTACAGTATTTCATTTCCCTTGTTCGCTGCCGTTATCACACGGTGTGAATTCGAAGAATGAAAAAGAGCAAATACTCGTTTACCATGTCCGTGCATACACTGTATATTGTATTATTATAACACGCAGTGAGTAAGTGATCAGAGGAAAAAGTCATCGGTCTACTAGATGTAGAAGATTCGGTTGCTGCACGCATTGAACCGTCGAGAACCGGCCATTGTTCTGACCGTGGTGGCGGACGCTGGAGACGAGCATTTGAGTAAACGTTTGGTTATCCGAAAATATGGCTCTCGGTTAGTTTTGAACGTTTTGACCGTCAGTCAAGCCCACGATTCGAATTCGCCAAAAATGTGTAGAATGCCCACGTTGGACAGATATCCACATTGTTGTTTCGGGCTCGGTCGAAAATCGACTCAACAAGTTTATTCGAAACACACATTACTCGAATTACTAGGATACGTCGCACGGGAATTCCCCCCAATCGGATAAAAGTTGAGAAAACCCATTGCTCGAGCGGTTGTGCGTATATTTCATTAACTGAGATCTCGTAATACGGTATACAGAGATTAAAATACGAAGAATATTATACTACAGAGATTGCCAACGAGATTTGCCCCCCCGAGATAGCAGAATTTAATACGACGTACGTAGTCATACGGAGGGTGCGCGGAAATATGTTGAACACATCATGCGTAGAAATTCGGCTTTTCACGACTCCGCAGCATACTTAGCCCGGATTCCTCGTTCGCGTGGATATTAATGCTCCGAACAAAACTAAACAACAATATGAAATTCTTCTCAAGTATAATCTCCGCTGTGCGTTGTTCTAAGACATTTAGAGCGTTAACACGTACGGAGTACAGTCGTCGAGAATCCTTTATTCTATTAACTAGTCAAGACGAATAATTTCAACGTGCTATATTATACATGCAATGATTTTTGAAGTACTGGTAACGATCTTATATAACTAACCAATTATACAGAAAAAAAAAATAACGCCGGGTTGCATAATTATACATTAAAGATGTAATCAATCAGTTAACGTTAATGAATTTTTTGTGAAACCCGAAATAAGATTCGAAGTGCCTCTGAATTTTGAACATGCAGTTGTTGTCCTTTTGCAAAAGCTTCTTATTTCCAAAAAATATAATACATTCTAAGTAGACTCTGTAGCAAATCGAATATTGGTAAGACTAATTTATCCAACTGACCAATAAATCTTACAAAAAAGGCAAACCGAAGATTTGCAAGTACCTAAGGAGAGTCTTAAATGAAAAAATTGTTTTTTAATTTTCTTAACAGTGGTAAAGCGTATACGTTTTGTCGTATCATATCATCATGATCGACTTGATCCGTCTATGCCTCAATCCGCTGGTTTTACTGGTCACAATATATCCCTGTGTGATGTTGTGGTCCTTAGTGAACTTGTCTAGTGTCAGTGTGACAACTATTCAAGCTTTCGGTGTTAATTTTTTGGGGACTATTTTCTTGTCCGGTCGTAAGCCGACGCTAACTTCGCCCGTCTACTATTTATTATATTATACAGTGTAGAACTGCGTTTCCATTGTGGTTTTAACCCTACTAGTATGAGTGCGTGTAGTTGACCCGTGTGTGTGTGTGTGAGTGTTGTTTTGTAAGATACGTTGGGTATGTGTGTGCATTAGTGAATTTTGCGGCGTACATATTGATAATGCTAAAAGCCTGACCATGTTAACACGTCTCGCGGATAATTTCAACGCCGCGATATGTGTTAATGTTATACATGATGCGGTATAGGCTATGAGCGGGGGACGGGAATTTGGGGGGGAGGGGAGTAGCAGGAAACGAGGTGCCGAATAGGCCAAAGGGATAATGAAGAATTACGAGCCCCGGAGACGTGCAGTAACCCGTTCGGTTGTTTGTAAGGTCCCAAAGTCGTTTTTGCTTATTCGTGAGGGGTAGGATAGCCAGAAATTAGGCGAAATTCCAAACACCGCCACCGCTGCCCTTTAATAATCAACAAACACGTGCGAAATGACTGCGCCATTTGGATTTATGATGCTCTGGAGACTTTTGACCAACATACTACCACCGCCATCGTTGCGGCTATACATAACCCCGGGACGAGCAACCCCTAAAATGTAATATGATACACCATTATGACGGGCATACTGTATGAATATCATTAGATTAAATATAAATACGGCAAAAGATCACCGCCGCTCAGCAAAACACAATGTAGACACGAAGAAAATAATTGCAGTGTTTAATGAGATCGTGGCCGGTATTTGTAAACGTCTCTGGCAGGGCCCACCCGTCGTTACCGTGCTGTCTTTGCGGTGGACTTACGGTTTAATTGAACTATTCTTTAACAATAACTTCACTAAACAATGTTTTATAAAACATTTAAAGTTCCTTAAGCTCCAAAAAAAGTTCAATAACTTACATACTCTCTATGGACTCTTCACACTCGTTTGCAACAATGACTAAAAAATACAAGAAATTCCCATACAAAAATTGAAACCATTCATATTTTGAGAAAAAAATATTTAAATAAATAAATGATATATAGTCGATTTATGTATCTGATCCAACTTGAGTAAACATTGAAATTTGAGATATAATATAAATTTCTATGCGTTAGTACATGCGTTTCTAAGTTAAAATACGGATATGAACATTTATTAGGGACCACAATAGTCACTGGCTTAATAAAAAAAATAATTAAAATATGACTTAAAAAAAAATCACATATTTGGGTTTCAATCATATTATACTTTTGGCCCTCAATAAGTGTTTTTTTTATAAATTTCGTTTTAAGTGTATTACATTTTACCAGATCACAATTTATTTCATGTTTATACATAAATGGTCACACCGTGTCTATTATCATCGACTGAAATATAAATCATATTATACACACTAGGATTGCTGCGCAATAATATTACGACATAATGACGAGTTTAGGTACCGAATTTCATTTATGGAACTCACAGTTGAACGCCTACCTAAATAAATTAACAGCATAATAATTGTGTCGTAAATTGAAATCCTAATAAAACTGATTTGTCAGATAACTACTAATTAACTAAAATATAAGCACGCAAAAAACCTAAGAAATAAGAATAACGCTGTTTTAGAGTTATGTGTTCAATGACATTGTAAATATTTTCCAAATATTATTTTTTTTTACAATTGTTCTTTAGCAAAGAGGTAAACGTGAAAAATGTTTTTTTGGCGAGCGATGTTAATAAATTGTATTGTTCGGGAACGCCTTACAAAAGGTTGAATGTTTTGTTTGAGATTTTTTTTAATAATTTAAGGTAAACACTGAACACAAACAGAAGACGAAAAACATTTTTGATAATATTCTTCACAAAAGAATTCAATTATTGTTTCATGTTTTTATTGTATAAAAAATGCAATTTCTTCAAATTTCAATAGGTTTCTTTATTGTATTTTTGAAACTATTTTAGTTTTTTTTAAAACAAATAATGACATTTATTCGTCATGATATTCAGTATTGTTTTAGTATTTTTTTTTTTTCTAATACCAATATATTTTTTGGTTCGATTCAAACTTGCTAAATTAAACGTATCGAATAAACTATGTGCTAATCCGCTCAATTACTTTGTAAACTGGTTTCTATTGCATTCAAACTGTTCTCCTTTTACAAATATGAAACATCAATAATGTATTCCTGGATATAGATTATGGAATAAGATGAAAATAAATATAATTGGCACGTCAATAGTATTATACTGTTGTGGTGTATATTATCACTTAACCGATCTAAACCTGTTAAGTTCCTCGCCACCGTTCGGCATTAATCGCTATAAAACAAAACCGGAAATCCTTGTGTATACTCACAAGCGCTGCGAGCATTCGATTAACGAATTCGGTTTGTGACACGCTTTTACCGTATTATCAACGCCTCGCGGAATCCTATAGATTTGTGTTATATAGTCTCCGGACGTTAGATTGTTTTGGACCAAGTTGTTCGGAGATCTCAAGAAGGTAGCGGCGGCGGGAGGCTAATGCGGGGACTTATACGGTTGTTGAGCTCTTCGTTCTACCGTGAACTTAACGCCTAGGCAAAGTTTGAAGATGATTAATTCGGTGCGGTCCCGGTCGTCACAGACAGCCGAACAAGTTTGTCTGATGGTAATAATAATCGTTTTAGAACACACCCCCCCCCCCCCCCCCCGAAAGTTCTGAATCCAAACGCAAAGCTGCAGAGTATTGTTCAGACGAATACTGGCAGTTGACACAGTTTTCAAAGACTTAAGCAAGTATATATAATATTACATACCTGATTCTATTGGTGTGGGTACATACACCCTCAGCCCGGTTGAACGTCAAGCCCGACCTAAATGCTGTAAGTATCATGTTGTATTAAAATATATTTTGCGCACAGTCAGCTCTCGGTGGCGCTTGCGACTGCCTTTTAAGTCTGTAAATGGATCATTTAAGTGTTGTGATACATACTCATTTGGTTATCTATACACAATGCCAACTGTCGAGATTTCTTTGGCTTATAATAAATTGAACTGTACGCGAGTGTTGCGGTTGTCGAAGTTGTTTTAAATTAATCATTTCACCACGTCGTTAGATCCACGTGTGTGCTGTTGATCTACTTAGGAAATGTCTGTATTTCCCGGTACCGGAATCCGGTCGGATTAAGTAACGCTGGTAGAGTATTAACTCTTCGTCCCTCCACCGGGATATTAAACACTCTATTGAAACGTTCCATTTACAAATGCGAAATCAGTCGGATAAGTTTGTTTTGCTTAATGTTTGTCGAGCGGAAGTCCGAAGCTTATGTTTTGCAATACAAAGTACTCTCTCTCTCTCTCTCTCTGCGCCAGCCCGTGTGTATGTGTCAAAGAGGCGGGGAGACAGAGACAGAGAGGGGGGTTAAGACCGACACCGGGAAATGCTATTAAACGCGCCGAACTTTCGTCCCCGCTGACACTCCATTATGACTAAAAGTTCACCACCGATGTAAACTACTTTAGCGGCAAGACTTGCCTTTTTTCGTGTCAAAAGTTCAAGTACATTATCTTTACAAGGGTTTGGAAAGTAATATTCCGGAGACGTAAATATCTGTCGTTGCATACCGAGTGGTGTTATTGTCAGAACAGCTGAGGAATTATAACCGATAGCTGTTATAAACTGTGTGAAACTCCGTACAAGTTTTAAATCATAATGCGATTTTTTTTTTTTTTTTTTTGCAGAGAGCGTAATCAGCTACATGGCGCCCAGGGCCGACACCGAGTTCGAAGATGTCAGCTACGACGGAGACCTAGGAAGGACGTACATGACTGGCGGTTTAGGCATGTTAACGGACGGCTTATACGGAGCCGACGACTTTCTACAATCCGACTTACAACTTCATAAGTCGCTCAGTGAGTATATATATATATATATATATATACAGCCGTCGTCGGTGGAGTGCCGAATGATACAATATGCATATGACGTAACGGGGCCGAGTCATCTAAAGACTCCTTGACCTTATTGGGAACGCTGGGCGGGGCTCTATACTAATCTAGAGGACCCGAGGGGGGGGGGGAGGGGGTCAGTTTAATAATCTCAACAAACATTCCGAGTGGAGTTTGCTGCAAAAAACGGCTAACCCGGATGACTTCGACAAATTGCCGGTGTCCGTGTGACGACCGCTTACGTTGTGAATGGCAATTAATCGACCGGTACATCCGAATGTCTCATAATACACTGCTCTATCTAATACGATTATATTGTACAAACCGTGGAATGCTCGTGCAGCTTTTAGTGTTATTACGCCACGACGTACCGGTGCCGTTGGCGTTTAATATAATTGGCCGGACAAAGTACCGGAAAGCGAGCAAAAAATTAAGTTATCTCGTTTCCCGGCCCCCTCGTTAGCCGTGTTCCACCGATAAAGCTCTCGTTTAACCGCAGGAATACACAAAACATACCCAACCGTGACGTAAACATGACTTTGATAAAGATCCAGTCAGGAAACGTTGCGGTTTTTTTTCATTATATTATTATGATGAATATTATTGCGTTTTTTATACGAATATAAAAAAAATATGCGCATAATGTCATTGCTGAGTAAATAATAAATACAAGTGCATAAGCATTATCATATATTTTAGCGATAATTTAACATTAATTTAACGCACAATTAAAATTATCGACTTGCCAAGTCGTTAATGCGATTTTGTGCAACAAATGGACATTCCTAGGTGACTTAAAACATAAGAGACACCTATTTGACCTCTTTTTATCGACCATTTAATTAATTAAAAATAAAAAACCGTTATTGAACTTGGAAAGATCTCAGTTTAAACCGGACATGGTTGATGTTATAGGTAAAAGATGGGTCGGATGGTCGAACGACTCGACTGGTAACATCTTAGAAATGGTGTTCGAGTTCAACGGTTTCCGAACGTTCAAAGAAGTCAAAATACACACCAGCCACATACCTACAAGAGATGTAAAGGCAAGTACAAAAAAAAAATGTAATATTATTTTCATTTTTAGCCACGCTTCGAACATGCAGTTTATATTGAGTACAATCGTTCGGTATGATTTTAAAGTAAAGTACGATTATCAAAAATCAGCCGGTAGCCAAAGAGTACGTTTCTTTTGTTGTATTTAATAAATCCACTCGATAACGACTCAGTGGTTCGCTGTAAAGTATTTCATTGTGATTGTGCGATCATAATAAAAAAAAGGTCTATTTTAAAATTAGACGATTCCCGTTTCAGTATTTTATGAACTGTCTGAAAGGTTACTTAGTGTTTCATTGTTTCTCGACCCTTTTAAGAGGAGTAAGTATTGCTGCAAATAGTTACCGCCTGTTCGTCAGGCAGAAAGGCACGATAACTGAATAGTAATAAACGGTATTGTTACTGGTTACACTCTCGGCGTTAAATATAATATACTCGAGACATATGTATACATGTATAAGTATAAAAGTGTAGTTATTTTTCTTCTACTTTAAGGCCAAAAATGCAATAATTTATGTACGGCAGTGATGACAAAATGTGCTTGCGTTGGAATATTGAAAACTGAAAGACATCGCGATTGCACATATTTGTTGTATAAGAACCAACTCGAGCGAAAAAAAAATTAAATAGCATATAAATGTATTATGTTTAAAGATTATTATTTTAATAATTATTCAAATGACGATATTTAATAGAAGAATTATGCTTAAGAATTATCGTTCTTAAACATAATATCCAAAATAATTAATTTTAAACACTAGTCAAATTTTGATTAAAATCAACATAATTGTTTGTCGGGCTTTTTTCGACTGATCCAGTCCTCTTTTTTTATTTATAAAAAAAATATGCAATACATGGTTATATTGTACCGCTATTACAAATTTGATAAATTATTATTTCTACCAAAAACCAGTTGTTTCTATAGTATTGGAAAACATATACGTTTTAACAATTGTATCGAACATTACAATGAAAATATTATTTAAAAAATACTGGCATTTCATAATTTTATCAGTATGTATTTATAATTTTTACTTTAAAACGCTACTAAAAATGTAGTTATCTTAATAATATAACCGGGTCGTATAATTATAATAGAAGGCAGTTTTAATAAAAGCGGGTTCCATTAGTTAGCGGTTAATAAATATTAATACATATCGTATATAAATATGTTTACTTTATAGTAATTTTATTCAAGTTAAACTTTAAGTGGAAACATGTTTTGAACATTTTTTTATTTAATCCTTGTCTCTTTACATCAATAAAAAGTTCTAATGGATATTGGCAAAAGTTGTAGTTTTTATTCATAGAACAATTCAATAAACACCTAATATTAATATTCTATTTAAATTCCCGCTTTTAATACTCTTTCTACGACTACCTTTTATGAATCGTTCCACTCGCAGTCTTACAGTTTTAATGAGCCCCTGAGTCGCGTGTTAAGAGAATGCAACAATATTACTTTCGATTTTAATTTTGATAACAAATTTAAACTTCGTGCTATGTGTCTGGGTCACAGGTAAATAAATGTTAAAAGATAATTGAGGTTATAATATTCTTACAATTATTATTTTATTTTGTTATCATCCACGTACACTCTTGGCCCGAATGGGCGTTATTAATTAAATAAATACAATATAATATAAAACACTTTTTACTATAAACTTGTCAGGAAATTCATCACTGTGTATCGTTTGAATTTTAATTATTATAACAGATAAATGATTCGGCTTTCAATTGTATTTGAATATTAAATGTCGGTAAATGGATATGGAAAGACCGACGCCCGGAGGTCGCTAAAACAACGGTATTCAACTTTCGACAAAAAAACCTTTGACACTGTAAAATTATTATTGAATATCATAATTTCTATAACCGCAAATTTGTACCTGGTAATTGTGCGGGGTTTTGATTACTATCGAAGACAGTTCTTTTATTCACTTCGTCATATATAAATCCTAGATTAGTGTACGCGTCTCGGATGGTGGATTCTTTGAGATCGTTCAACAACGAGCACAGGTACTGAACGAATAGCATTTTAGAAGAATTCGAAATTATATTTGAATACGTCGCGTCGAAGTGCGGTTCGATCGTCAGCCTAGTCGGTTCGGAATTCGGCTGCTGTCGGCAGTGTTTGTAAATAAACGGCTTCAATTTCTTAGACATTATAAATTCGAAAAACCTCTGCAATTCGTTGATTTGATGCACTAACCAGTCGACCTGCTGACCGCCATTGACGTCGATCGTCAGAGGACGGTTGATTGCGATTATTCTTTGCAACCGCACCGTCAGATGATCCGTCACATTAATTATGGTGGGCAAGTCTAATTCCTTATTCAACAACAATACGTACGACAGGACGCCTTCCATGTGCACAAGCATAGTCTTGCCGCTCTTCAGCTTCGACAGCGCGTACGTATAGCAGTTGTACTTTTCTGTTAGCGCCAAACACTTTTGCAGAACGCCACCGGATACATCCAGGTACCGGTACAGGACGTCGGCATACTTGCAACTGATTACCGTGGAAATCTGATGCAGTTTGTCGTTGACGTTGTTTCGGTTGGCCAGCCGATTGTCGGCGTCCACTGTCAACAGTTTTTTCAAAGACCCTTGGTAGTTATTGTTGGATTCCCAATACCAGTGGTTGATCAGTATGTCTTGGAACGACGACCATCCCGAACACTTCAACAGCGCTTCCACGTGGCCGACTAAAATGTCTTTCTCGTCACGCGGCTGTTGGTCGCACGTCACCAACAACAGGCACAACAGTTTTACAGATGTTGTTAAACGCATTTCGTGCCTTTGCCCGACTGAAATTTACAAAGAAAACGTTTTTAGCTTTATTCTCGTTCTACGGTGTTCCGAATACTGACTGTCTTGGCTGTTTGCAAAGATAACAGACGACGCGTGACACTGTTTACACTTGCCGCAATTTTCCTTGAAATAAACAAGTTTATTGTAAGAGCTTATCGGTTATATGTGTAGAATCTCGATACAGGTGTTTATAATATTCGCTTAGCTATACACTTATCGAAAATAAGATATATTTCATGATTGAAAAACTAAGAATTCAAACCGCTCTTTAGCAGCTATGTTTGTATATTTAATGTTAAAAACAAATATTCGTAACGGCAATCCAGCCAGACGTTTATGTGCTTTGCCGAATTGTTTTTATAACGAGACATATTTTTTGTGCCCTTTCCTTTAGGTGTTTAGTACGGCGTTGATTTACGTCAGCTTAGACGGGGACAAATGGCAAGAGTGGCCGATAAAGCTGAGCACAAAGTCGGAGGCCATTAAGGACACCGCTGTGAACATAACCATCAATCTGAAGAGCAGGGTGGGGCGGTACATCAAGATATGTCTTTATTTTTCCGCACGATGGATACTCATCAGCGAAGTAACGTTTGAGACCGGTAAGTAAAATTAATATCACAGTCCCGCGCGCTTTTGTATTCCATACTTGGGTGATTTTCGATCATTTTTTTATTAGTCTACTCATGTTCGGACCTCCTATCCGTGTCGTCATGGATAGACACTCTTCCTGGGACCCCGTCCACGACATTGTAGGAGTGATGCGCCTAAATTTTATTTTTCTTCCCTACGTTTTAGATCATCGAAAAAGGTCTATAAAATTCCGAGAGCTGACACTCGAGTTCTCTTTTTTTTTCTTGTATATGTTACATTTATAATACACATAAATCAAGATCGGCCGTCACGTTGGGTACGCGTTTACGTCCGTCAATCGCACCCGAACTCGGATAACGTTCGTTTTTCCACCGGAAAGTTCAGTGTCAACCGTCCGGATCGATTAAATAAGAAAACATTCCAACCCGGTTCGAACGTCTCGCGTGTTACACGATATTGTCGCAAGAGAGGCTTTAAATTTCCGGTCGGTCGCTTTCGCGGCAGATAATATTATATATTACAAACTCCTGAAACTTACTGGAAGCTGAACAATATTATACATAATGCACAATAGACGTGTATGAAAATATCAATACGTGTTATGCCAATACTCACAGCATGTGCGCATTATTTACAGCAACACCACTCATTCGTGCCACGCTATTCCTTTATACAGTTTAAAAAAAAAATAGATAAAAACAAATATTTAAGCTACATTCTCAGTATGGATGGCCGTAACCGCACTAACGCGGCAGCTGTCTAGATACTACACAAGGTGTTTCGCATTACTCTGAAATGCACAGTACAGTGTTTTGTGAAGACCAAAACAAAATGGCATATTAAGAGAATTGTATTTATCTATTTCAAAATCAACCCGTTATTATGTAGTTTAATGCATTTCAAATTTATGCCTGCTTTAGTTTTAGAGATATTAAAGATATTATTAACAAAGGATTATATTCCAAATGAACGTTTTTTAATTAAATAAAAACATACCGTACTTACCTAACTAATTTATATAGTTTTTGAACAGCCAAGTCTATACTTTTGAAACTACCAGCTATAACGGCTACTGGACGTTATAACTTATACGACGTACAACTTCACTATTCTAACTTGTAAGGGTTCTAGTAATAATAATTTAAGCTCCTAACAATTATTTATGGTAACACAGCACACTTTCGGTTACATATATTATTATTTTATGTAGCCCTAAAATTATTATTACAGTAGGTATGTACATAATATTATTATTATTATTCATCTCGTCGTATACTAAACAAACTCATATTATAAACATTATTTAACATTATTGATAACGAGCTTACCTTATACTAGTTTCTAAGTTTACTAATATTTAGGGCGCCTTAAAACTTAAGACTACTCGTTATAACTCTCCACATTTTCCGTTTCATAAGCTAGAATATCCTTACCGGGATTTTCTCGCTAAGTAGTCTCGTTTTACTTTACTGTATGAATGCGTTTTATTAAATTATATGTCATACGGTATACCTATGAGGCAACGTTTATTGTACATAGAATAAAATAAAGTAAGTGCTCAAGTATTATGTGTAAGTATATTCATAGTGTAAAAAGTTGAAAATAGAGTATTTGATACCGGTATAAAAACGAATACAGTATTTTTGGGAATCTATTTTAAATGCTGCCGTCCTATGGTCGCTTACCGGAAAATAATGTTATGATGTTTATTTAAATTAATAAATTATAGAATGTTATTTTAAGCTACATCTTAAGTTTTCTCTTAACTTTACTAATTTTAAAAACTGAGAGGTACATAGTTTAGTATAATTTACTATACATTGCTCGATATTTTTTTATAATTTTGTATGTTTTGTCAATTGTGAATAGCTTTAATCAGTCTGAAACCTAAAAACAGACGCAGCGTCTAATCGATTTACTTTCAATCGTGTGACTGATAATAATTATACAATTTATTGAATATGCCACAAGCTGCGAAGCGTACGATTAGACAAGTTTGTGGATTGATCGGCAAATTATATAACGAAAACTACTTAGTCGCAAACTTCGATGCCATCAGTTAGACGCGCATTATACATCATGATGTTATAAGTAAACAAAAGTACCATCAATATTGACCGTTGACATTTACGGGACTAATCGAAAATGTTTTGTCGGGCAACAAGGCAAAAGAAAGAAAAAAAGTTGTTACTATCGGAAAACTTTTACGGCCTCTCTTCTTGAGCGTGTTTATCGTATAAGTATAATGCAACAGAAACATTTCGCGTTAATTAAGACATCCATTAGTCAATACCGGTCTCTCTGCGCGGAGCTCAAAACTTTTTTTCTTCTAGTTGTTATTATTTCTCTCTCTCTCTCTCTCTCTCTCTTTGGCCACCCACTCCACGGGATCCTATACAGCGCCGGAACTTGCAATTTATGTTTGGCGAGACCAGGTGCACCTTGCGCAAATAACAAGCATGTTTTAAGCCTACGCCACCTTTAATGAGAACATTCCGCTAAAACATGAATTCCTGTCCTCCCGAACAATGACCAGGGGAAAACCTAACATTAAAATTTACCGCGGTAATACTCGGCGGCGGCGGCGTAATGCGAAATGTAAAACCATATAATATATTTAACCTAAACTAATGTGTATGTATGACCGTAGAGGTATCCATTAAACGTTATAATAGCGCGGAATGTATTTGCATATACTGTGGTTGCTTGTTGTTATTGTACACACACGTATGAACAACTGAAGGCGTTGACAAATAGGTGAAGTAATTATTACCATTATTATTGTTTGTAGAACTGGTAGCGGCCAACATTACCGAGCAAATACTGTCGCAGTTTTACATGCAAAAAGAAACCGGATACGAACTCCGGCAGAGCGGTGATTCCACCAGAAAAGAAGTCACAACGGGTAAGCACAGCGGCAAGTACTTTTCGATCACAATGCGCGCTAACCGTGTCTCAATAAAGTTTTGTGTTTACCAACACAAATACAACCGTCGGGTAGATATTATTGTGCGATTTATGTTATTATACTCGAATGTATTACACGGCCTAAACGACCGGCCGTTCGGACGTATAAGGGTGAAACGTAATGGACGAAGTGTTCGTCTATTAAGCCTAGACCGGTGCACGCAGCGGATACGTGTATAATAATGTTATAAAAAGATACATAAAAATAAAACAATTCCCGTGTTGATTGTCCGGAGCGTTAGTAATATTATTACTGCTCTGAAATTAGGTCCAATTGTTTTATCCTTTATTGTACCGTGTAAGGGTGTGACCGTTGGTTTTTATTTGTTGACCGTAAAGACAGTATAATTTGCTTACGGCATTGTAATATTATCGTTATCGCTCGCTGCCTTTTCTCTCTCTTCTTTTTGTCCCTTTTTGAAAATAGAACTAGACCTAATAATTTAATGATTTACTAAAACGTGCTCAACAGGTCCCAGTCCGGGCAACAGCGCGCAGACTTACGTGGGTCTGGTAACCGGCGCGCTAGCCATGACCGTCTTACTGGTTGCCGGCGTGGCCGTGGGTTTGGCTCTGAAACGAGGCCGACAAAAGGTCGCTCTACTGCAGTTCAAACAAGCCACACTCGGCGCACCCAAACAACAGTCCATCAACATGAAACACCTGAACATGTCTAAGACAATGGGTTCATCGTCTCTGTACGGCCGCACCGTCATGGTCGGCGGAGGCGGTCAAGTTGGCCACGAGTCCGAAGACAGCGATAACTCATCCGTCTACCACGAACCGTACAAACGGTTGCCGTCGGCCAAGAACCACGATTACGCCCCGATCACTTTCTTGTTCAAGAAGGATACTGTATCCACGTCTCTGACCACCAGCAAGAGTACCGATTACACGGGTCAGTACAGTAAGCGAACATATAATATTATTGCATTAACCACGTAAATTAGCTTAAAAATAACATAGGAAAACTGTATAACGAGAGTAAACACATTTCGAAATGGACTTAGTGGTAGAGACAAGAGTTTCGACCAAAACATCTTGATTGAGCCCTGTAAACACGACTCACGAGCAATCTTCATATCATTGCCTTTATCTTTGTAGGTCTTGGCATAGTTTTAAATATACTAATAACTTTATATCGCATGTAAATGGACCAGCTGTATAATTTAGATAAATACTGTGTTTTTGTATAGTTAAACTACATTTAGTTGGTCGTTGGTGATCTTAAATGTTCCTAATTAGGAATTTTTTTAATTTTTTATCTTTGAAGTTTCACTTCAAACGCGCGTGGCGACCAAGCATCGAGATTTCATTATAACTATAACAGTATTATTAATTATGAAGCTTATAAATCAAAATTTCATAGTTCACAGGTTAATCGATTTTAAATGTTTACAAATTGTTTTACATTTCTTTTAGCGAAGAGAATAATTAAGTCGTACTCGACGAAAAAAAAAGTATTTGCGTTTAATGTAAGACATTTTAATAAATTAAATCGTGGAAACCCTAAATAATTAAGACTGAAAGATCCAAATTGTATTATATTAATTATTCGTTTAATGTTCAACGCAAAATGCCATTTTAATATTCTTTATTCGGTAGTGGGTTCAAACACTATGTCTTCTTTATTATAATTAATATACCCTATGAAAATTACCTAAAAATTTACAATTTTGATTTTTGGCATGGATATCTATTAAATAAAGTTTCCTCTGGTTTTTTGTTGCTAATGTCACACTAATAGACACCCAATTATTGCTGAACGTCTTACAAATTTGCATTACTAATAAACACAGCGCCCGTTGGGTTCTTAACGCATCTTCTCTATCTCTTTGGTTTTTGCCTCTTTTTTTATGTTCATCGCCTTTGAACCGTCTTTAACGTGTGCAGGAGTGACCGGGGTTTTTTTTTCTTGTGCTAATCTCCAACGGAGGCTAATCCACAATAACGACGCGTTAACTATAACTTGCGTGCACCAATGATTGTTCTAGACTTCACTGGCGTTGGTACTTTTGGACAGGACGAGGTCAAATACTCTTCGCCGTCCATGTACACGTTGAATCCACCGCCTCCGCCCAACACAAGACCGCCACCGCTATTGCAATCCGAACAGCTCAACAAATCGCTACCGGCCAACCTGCACAATTACTACGCCGCCATCGACATAATCAAAGTAAGTCCGACGGTCACTGTGCGCGACGTCGGATGTGTGATGTGATTGTGTTTTGTTCACCGTCCGCGTATAATAAACGTGATTCCTACCAATAGCCTCCTCGTGTTGCGTTTTGCAGACGGAACGCAAAGAGCAGCATTTCACGCCGGGCAAGTTCACGTGCATGAAGTTACCGGAAGACAAACAGGACGAGTGCAGTCAGACTTCGCTGTACGAGATATCGAGAAACAGACTTCGAGTGATCGAAAAGCTGGGCGAAGGCAATTTCGGAATGGTGAGTACAACAGTAGTACAATTTTTTTTTTTTTTTTTGCTTTCCCGTGCTCGTGTATGCGGTGTTACTGCCGCCGCTCCGGCGTGGCTGTTTTGGGCACACCGTGTACGTGATTGGCATGCACCTCGGTGTACTATATTTTTTATTAAACAACTGTCAATGCCATAGATCCACTTATGCGAAACGGACGGCATCCCCGAATACAACGCCACGTCGACGTTCCACAAGAAACGAGTGATCGTCAAATCGTTGCGGCGCGGTTGCGGCGAACAAAACAAGTAAGTAAATACATAAAAAAATTCAAATCGCAAGTATTCCACTGCGTAAACGTCAACGGGGTTTGACAATAGTAGTAATGGCGAAAAATAACCGCAAATACGAATAGAAAATTTCATGAAAAATATTGTGTACCAGTTTACCTATAAAACAATCGTGTTGTGTTGTGCACATACGGTCTACCCGATTACAATCAGCTTCCTACATAACACAGTAAAGTAGCCAGAGAACTCGAATCTCTTTACAGAATTGAAATTGGAGATTGTGTGTATAGTAAACATTTTGTCTGGCTTTTTGGTCTAAAATAAACCAAAATGGCTTTTACTCATATAAAAAGTTATTTAAATCGAAAATAATACCGTGAAGTTTATACAAATTAACCAGTAAATCAATTGGCATGGTTGAAATTTATTAAAACCTCTTTTTTCATTTATATTGCCTATACAAAACTCCTTGATAATAGACCGCATGCAATCTCCTTAAAATATACGAAACGATTAAAACGTTATTTGAAAAGCTTAAGATTTGTCTTAGGGTAAGAGTTTTATAATTCAAAACGATTCTACTATTTAAATGTATAGAAACATAGTATATGCACGTTCAAATAGTTTTTCTACATTAAAGTGAGTTTTATTCTGAGACGTGTTTAACGATAAAGATAGGTTAACATTTTTCACTTCGGAAAGCAAACTTTGAAACTTAAAAAATGAATTTAAGTAAATTTTGTAATTTTTTTTTAAATGCAACATAAAACTAGCAATTTAACAGACTTTATTGTTTAAAAAAATTAAATAACAATTTTGCAACTTATAGGAAAGTTGTATAGGAAATTCTAGTGAGCATATTCATTTGTAATATTTAGTGCCTTGCCCTTCCTGAAATAAATGTCGGGCCATAACATATGCTCCCAATTGGTACTTATGGGGATGCTCCAAAATACTAGATACTGGGTAGTACTAGGTACTGGAAAACACGAATTTTCCTACATTTTTTATTTAATTGTTTACATTTTATTATTATTGGGTATTGTATTCTGTTCTAGGCAAGAGGTCATGAGAGAAACGAAATGCTTGTATACGGTTCGAGATCCGAATGTCGCTCGAATCGTTGGCGTGTGCACTCCAGACGAACCGCTATGTATTATACAGGAATACTGCGAGTATGGAGATTTACCCGCGTTCCTGAAAATGCAAACGTCTGAATCAACCGAAGCTCATCCTACAATCAAGTGAGTGACACTAATTTGATGATTCGAAAAATAAGATAAAATACAATGTATGGCCTAGTTTATAAACTTGAAATATGGTCGCTGCACTAAAAGCTTTCCAGTTAATAAATAGTTAAGTTAAAGTTCAATGCGGTAGCACTGTTAAGTTACTTTTAATTAAAATAATAATACATACTATTTAAGGAAAACTTGAAAATAATTAGGAAATATGTGTATGTAAATTTAATTTAAACGTGCATTAGGTACTAAAATTGACAAATATACATTTTTACAGTTATGGTTGCTTGCTGTATTTCGCTACTCAAATAGCGTCAGGCATGAAACACTTAGAAGGCAAAGGATTCGTTCACAGGGATTTGGCTGCAAGAAACTGTTTGGTAGGAAAAAACTATTCGTTGAAAGTATCCGACCACGCCATGTATTGTAGTCAGTACGATTCAGATTATTATGTCAGCGACACTAAATCAAGGTTACCAATCAGATGGATGTCGTGGGAAAGTTTACTTATGGTGAGTTTCTTCCTCAGACATTAATGTATTTTAGCTAGACAACAGGCCGGGTTAACCAAACCAAACCAAGCACAGGCTAGTCTACATGGTTCCCACGGCGTTGAAGATGTAAAATACATCCGTAATGTATTTGATTAAATAAAATACATGAATGTATTTAAATGTATATTTAATATATTATTATACGACTGATGCCATTTGAGAGCGAGGACTCGTCTTCAGTATAGTGTATTAAGTTTGAATTAAGAAACGTATTTTTTATCAAGAAAAAATTAGTTAATTATTTGTGTTTGGGTGCTAAAAGTGTTAGATTAATCTTCACAATAGAGGAAAGTAGAATTTTCTAGAATTTCTATTGCCGTGACGCTCACGTGTTCTAAATTGAACACGTTATGTCACATTTGTCAATGATATATATTTTTAGTTAAATTAATTAAATGTTCTAGAACATTGCTCAGTTGCATAAAGTATAGTAGATTCAACACCTGCGCCTAATGATGACCCTCGATGAGTCTAATAAATTTGTGTGAACCGTTTCTTAATTTTTGCAAGCCAATAATTTGGTCATTGTTGATCAACTCTTCTATTTCGAATACACACTTTAAAGTTCAATTGAGTTCGACAATATTGTTTTGTCAGTTACACTTGCCGTTTGAATGAAGGTATTGTTTTTTCGTTGGAAAAAAATATGGAGTCGTAGCCCGTACATTTGTGTTTCTTGATAAATTTGTGACCATTGTCTTAAGAGAAACAGAGAGAGAGAGAGCCAATGTCTCGTGCCTATTACGGTGAGCAAACGCACAGTATTGTCATGTATGCTTATCTCACTCCCGTCCTTTCTCGTAATGTTGGCCGCACAATCGTGTTAAATGGCTCCATTTATCTAAGGCCTGTTTTTTTTCCCCGCTCGTTTAGGGTAAATACACGTCGAAAAGCGACGTTTGGTCGTTCGCCGTCACCCTGTGGGAAATACTGATGTTCTGCAGCCATCAGCCACTGGCGGAGTTGACCAATGAACAAGTGGTGGAGAACACCAACCACATGTACTTGATCAACGGCAAGCACAGGTACGTGGAGCCGCCGGTCAGCTGTCCCCGGGAGATGTACGAGCTGATGGCGGAATGCTGGAAGCGAGACGATGCGGACCGACCAAAGTTTTCAGAAATACATTTGTTCCTTCAACGCAAGAACCTGGGCTACGTACCGGCAATATAGGACACGGGGCCAGAGAAGTGAAAAAAAAAAAAAAAAGGTAATATTGTTCTCGGGAAACCGTTTTTTCGCCCCCCCCCCTCTCTCTCCCAACAGCCCCCAAAAGTCCCGCAGGAAACGTTTTTGAACGTTAAGACGAGAAATAATTGATGAGATCGCCGGAGCACCCGGACACCGTTTGTCTCGTAGTCGCCTTACATGCGCGCCATACATTAACATTTCACGTTTGCACAACGACAGGCAAACTGTTAAAATATTTACAGCCACGCGCTCCGCTTCAAATTGTATTTCTGGCAAAATATTTTTTTATATATTTTATAGATGTATAAGTATAAATATTATAACGTCCCGCGACTCTCTATTATTTTCAATGCCCTATATACACATACTTCTTCGCCCCTTGCCCTCCTCCCTACCGCGCTATTTCTCTCTCTCTTTCGAATTTCATTTGTATATCCTTAATAATGTATTACGCATATACGTAGCCATAATGTAAATGCTTTATGCACTCACAAAATGTCTTCCAAGTTCAAATCCATATATTACAGCGCGGCGAATAAATTATAAATTTGGTGTATATACCTACCACCACGCGTTGCGTTTTCGGTCTTACACCCCGAACCGGGAAAACGCGCGGTTCAAATTATTTTATTTTTACGTTAATTAGATAAGGCTGTACATAATATTATATTGTATTTTTTTCTCCTTCGCGTTCAATCCAGATATGGTACATTTTGCGTATTCGCCATTGTATTTTAACGGAGCGTTACATTCTAATTGACATACAAAAATTACTCAAATATTAAGTATTGTATTATCGCACTTGTACATAAAACGTTTAAATATTGTAGTACTCGTGTATACACTGGTGTAAAATCATATGTAATTAGTTGTGTGGTGCGTTATTGTTTCGAATAACGCACCACGCAACACGATACACGAAATATAAAAAAAAAATTTTTTTTCCGTTAATTTCGCACATGTTGGTTCGATTACGTTACAAACATAATTATATTAAGCATTATTAACAATTGATGTTATTATACATCAACTCACCCCGATGTCTTTCCAGTGTAGTCGAAAACGAATAAAGCGCTTCTACCAGACGTAGGCAGCCAATTCGTATTGTAAACTATACTTAAATTTAATATAAGTATTCGATTTGTATTTTAATTTCCTTTTCTTTCACGTTTATAACGTAATCAATAATAAACACGACCGTTAAAATTGATGCGTTCTTCATTTATTATTGTTTATTAAAAGCTTTGGCGTTTAATTAACGAATTCAATTATTTCCCGTTAAAGCCATTATCTTTCTGTATATTGTAAATAATATTATTATAACTACCCATGTTTTGTTCTTGTTCTGTGATTTATTTTCAATTGATTTGTTTTCTCAATTCAATATTATTATATTTTTATCGTAAAAGCTCCAACCCAGAACGGTTGAGCTCGTGTAAAAATGCAATAAATAGTATTATTTTATAACATAATTCAACTATTGTACAGGGCTCGTGCCAACGATCTTAATTGCCTACTTAAACATTGTGCACAGTACACAAGTGTCTAAGTCGTAATGATCTTTCGAGCGTTCCCGTATAATATTGTTATTGTAAATTCCCACATTTTGTTTAACGTGCAATTTAAAAAAAAAACTCAAACGTGTGCCCAGAGTTTTTTTGTTTTATTTTTTTAGATGTCATAGCTATATGTTATCCATTTGTATATTTACGATAGGTACAGTATTAAAACACATTTATTATATATACCATAGGTATCATGCACATTTGATTTTTTTTCAACTTTTATGCCGTGTGTGATATGATAGAAGTTAATAATATATTATATATTTGAAATACGCATATCATCAATAGTAGGTACCTGTATAATATTATTATGTATAATATCCTAAAAACAAAAAAAAACATAATATTCGTATTCCATCGATTGTACATTCATTTATTATTTTGTTTTGTTTGGTTTGTTTTTTTTTTTTTACAAAAGAATTTATTTTGCGCCGCGTTAACGCGACAAAATCGAAAAAATGACACCCCTTGAAAAGGGTGCCATGAAATGGTGTGTAAATAATATTACTATAACATGGAGGGTATAATCAATTGCCTACGTTGCTAAGAGACAATCAATCTCTAACACTTTTTGGTCTATATAGTATTTTGTACTTAAAAAAAAATATATATATATAAACATAAATTAAAAAAAAATACATACCATACAATTTATAGCACATATTTCGCGTATTAGCAGTATTTGATCCGAACTAATGGAATATTTGCATTAAACTGATTTAGCACAAACACATAAATTCAACACATACATTTATCGTCAAACACTTCTCTGTATTTCCGGAGTGCGTCGTTCCTTTTAGCAAAATACTAAGTTCATTTTTTCCAATCAATATTTTTTAAACAAATATTAAAATAATATAGTACCATTTAATATGTATTTAAAATAACAATATAATACATTTATACATATTATTATATTATATACTTAAATTTTAAATGTATTTGTATAATGTATTTTCTTTGACTATATATTGTTGTTTAATATTATCTTTAGATCAAATAAATCAGTATTATAAACATTCCTTTGTCTTAAAAAAATGTTATTTAATAAATATGTATGTAACATTAACACTTTGTTTGATTATTATTAATGTTATTATTATTATACACGCATAATTTTTCACCCTTGTCCTTTTGCTAGCATTTATAATTGCAACATCAACTATAATATCCATGAGAGCCAATAGGGTATAAGTTCTTAATTTCTCTGCCCAACAAACGTTTTTATAGAAATACTATACTTAGTATATATATTTGAATAATATCCTTTCAATTACATATTTATGATCTAAAATCGTAATGCACGTATATGTCTAATACTTCCTGAACTTACTTAATTCTAGCTGCTCGCACTAATACCTTACTAATGCCTCTTACCAAGATTTCCAATAAAACAGAGGGTTTTACCATTATATGAGTAATATTACTAGGTATAACATTTCTTTGTCCACGGGCCTCTGTCAAAATAAAAAATCCCTTTGTTTTGTACAATAAAACCCAACTATGGATATTAAAATTAGTATTGATAATCTTGTTAAAAGTTTGAGGAGTGGCAACAACTTTCGATATAAAATGAAGGTAAGTAAACAAATACCTAGTATAATAATTATTGATGTATAATAATTTATTATACATGATCAAAACTAACGTCGAGAGGCCACATTACTGAATATACTGAAATGTAGTGGTCGATCAATGTAAGTCCATAAAATTCAGTTGAAGCTGCAGACACAACATTTTGTTTATTCACCTTTTCCCGTCGATGGATATTAAAACAAATATCCGTTAGTTCCCTGACCAAGCATTGTTTATCCAATTAGCACGGTGCTGTTACATGTTGTTCTGTAATCATACAATTTCCTTTCATATTGTAATCGTTTATCATTTTGTGTTGTTCCTAAAACGAAAATTCCTCGGGTATAAACTCGATATTTTTTTACCTTACTGAATATTTCAATTACATTATTTAGTAGTCCAATCTGTAAACAAATTATATATTTTATGCATACATTTCAATTTCACCAAAAAACAAACATGTAAAGGTACAACTCTGTGCGGTACACGAAAATATTTTTAATATAAGCTGAATCGCTGAGGTCAACAAAATGTAATTTTGTTCACCATTAATGTTTGCTAACATTTCTACAAAAAAAGTAAACTGGAAAATAATACGTTTTTAATAAACACCAATTAATCTAGTTCACTCTTCTCCATCCTCTCCTTAACCAGTAAGTACTTATTGTATAATTTAAATAGGGCGAGGGGAGTGTACAGGCAATTCTTGCAAGATAACGTAGCTCTCCAGTCCTTAATTAACTGTCAAGTGAATTTTGATTTATTTTATATACAAAAATTACTGTCAGTGTCCATATACATAATAACGTTTTATAAATTTGTCGAGTTCATTTTTTTTCTCATCATTAAAAAAAATACTAAATTAAGTACCCTTTATTTGGGTGAAGGGCTAGATAACATCCAATTGTGGAGTACAAAACTGTACACTCTGCGTTTCGGTAAATATTCTAATATTATGTCCGTTCGAGCAAATCGTTATGGTCGCAACGAATCTGTTGTTATTTCTCGAGAAACCTACAATATGATAATGCCGCGATTTGGCATATATTTGAACTACATTACACGGACCGACGCAAAAACAATAGCGGCGTTCGCATCAGTCATGGCGTGGGGTTTATGGTCGGCTCCCCGACGACTACACCCGGTTACAACATAGGTGCGGCTTGGTTGGATCGTGACCCGAATCCAACACCACGTCCAGGTAGCTATACAGTTATACATGCATATTATATAACATACAGTGCATATTGTACATTGACTGTGCACAGGACCCGGCGCAGCTGTTTCTGTTGGTGTTTTACACGGACCTCCGCCTATTGTAAATAATAAATAGACTACAGACGGTTTTCGCACGAACTTATGTTAAAATACCCGTAGTCTTATTTGGCCTGGCCGCGCCGGTAGGTATTTGCACCGCCATACCGCCCCGTTGACCGCTTCCCTGTGTACACAGCACTCTCAATTGTACATGGAAAACGGTAACGGTATCGGTTACACTATTTTTAAGACGACTTACCGTTTAGAAGTCTAGTCGCGTACTCTTCATATTATACATTATACGGCCACACGAGGCGAGTGCAAACCAACCCTTGGGGTTATACAGGCTATACAGGCTATCCGACCGTGTGCGATACTTCTTCGTGTGGACAACACATACAGTCACTGAGCTACGGAATAATAATCCACTTTCTCGACATTTATGCGTCTTATCGATAAATCGACACCGGGGATCACTTTTTATGAAATTTAATTCTATTGCAATCCCATCGCAAAGACACAATATTTGGCTTTGTTTTTTCATACCCAGGATTAAAAATTAGAATGAGACATTAACAAAACGCAATTACCCTAGTGAATGTAACAAATTGTTAAATAAAAAAAGAATATATTATATATATATGTATGATGATTATGTATTTAAAATTATATAAGAATAGGAGGAATTAAGAGGGAAGGTAAACTATATTTGAATCATTACTTTTGACATTAAATTAGTCACAGATACAGGATACTAACGTATAGTACACAGGCAAAAAAATAGTTGCTGACGACCGATTACTCGAGTTTGCCAGTAACACAGTTGCCGGCCCCAAAGACTTTCTGACGACCGGCGATCAGCGAATTTTTGTCACGTTATTAGTATTGTTTTACAACACACATCACGGCCATATGGTTTTTTTTTGTCGTACATATGTCATATATTTTATTAAACTAATGAAATCACTCAATATGTTTTTATGACATGTTTTCTTCGTAAAAATTAACTGTGTTGGGGCGTCCAAGTGTCCAGACAAGTAATAGTTAAATATGTAAATACTTATTTGTGAAATTGTTTCTTGTTTATCGTTCTTATTATTTATTTTAAGTTATAAGATTCATAATGTCAATTGAATGAAAAAGTTCCTACGTTGTGTCAATTAAAACAACCCATTGAAAGTGTTTCACAGTAAATTGATTTTTAATATATTTTAACTAACCTAATTTGTCATTTTAACAATGAAAATATGATCTGCGTTTGATTCGTCCGTATATATTACCTGTGCCGTTGAAGTCTTTTAACTAATACAAAATAATAATACTAATTTTATGATTATCGAAAACAGACATAACAAAAGTTATTTTACCTTATTTTACAATAGACAATTTTTAAATGAGGAAACTATCTCTGTGTAATAATAATAAGTAACTAGATATGAGCAAAAGTCAGATTATAGATGAAATAATTGGTAAAGGCTAGGCAAGGTAAAGATGCAGATAATCTGACAAAAATGTGAGTTACGTTACATACTATACAATTATAATATGTCTTTCTCACGAAGATAGCAAAATAATTTAAATTACAGAACAAAACGTGTTATAGATATAACGTGTAAAACAACTTGAATTCCAATCCTTACCAAATTATCCACGTGGAAAATTAAACATAATATTTTTTTACAGTGAAAGTCACATGGTGTAAAATTGTATGTTCAACAAATTTTGCGATTTAAATACAAAAATATTTCACATACATAACAGCAGTAGACTGATTCTGTTATTTGCAGTGTATTTGTGGCTGTAATTTCGAGCAATAACGAACAATTTAACGTTCCCAAAAAGGTCTAGATCAAGAACAACAGTTCACTGATGTATTACTCTACAACTGTTATTATACTAGGCTGTTGGAAATTCAATATGAACTACTGAATGGGCGCGGCGACAAGGATGATTTACCGCGCACAAATAAATATTATACATCCATTAACAGAATAAATCGTGATTTACTCAGCATATTGTCACCGGTGGTCAGATGAGAATCACGTTGCTGATATTGTACAAAAAAAAAAAAAAATAAGATGGCCATTATTGATATTTATGCGAGGCTGTATTTGGCCGTTAGTGAAAATCGTTTGTCATTGTGCCTGCACTGTTTTCCCTCTGCCCGCCCTATCACAATTTTTTCTTTCGCACTTGAGCGTGTGGGTCAGACTAACTGACAAAAATCTACCCTGTCCTTGTTTTCGCTGCCATAATATGTTATTATTTTGTCGTTTAACTTGACGCGTTCAGCCGGTTTTCACTGTGTCCACCAATATGGCTCCACGCATTTCCCACCCGCTTTCCCATTGCGGTGCCCATCTCTAATCCAAAGTTATATCTTTTTTTTTTTTTTTACTCTCGCCGAAAATATATATATTATTTACGAGATACCCTTTTTGTATTTTTTTTTTTTTGTTTGTTTTTCATTCGATTCCGAGCAAATTGACACGAACACTGCAAAGTACTTTAAGTGTCACGACGAAAAACAAGTTTGACAATTGGACGCATATTATTTATTCTACTTTAAGACAGCGTTCAACTCATTCATTTTAATTAGGCAACCCGCAGTCGGTTGGATTGTTTCGTGTTAAAGTATTTACAGGTAAGTCGATGAGAACAATTTACGATAACCACCCCATTTGCCGTTGTAAAATATATACATTATAAATATGGATATGGGCTTGACACAGAACCATTGAAGTCTGCACAATATGTAATTTTGCAATTTGACTATAAGCTCCTTGAATAGTGGACCAGAACCCTCACAGTTCTGGTCTGGTGTTCAGGGCTACTGTATTTGAATTCAATCGATAATAATAGGAGTCGCAGAAATAAAAATAACAAACAATATCACAATATTATACTATTTAATAAACAGTACTTAAAGCTAACTATGGTTACCGTGCATTGACACGAATAAGCGATTTGTGAAAATAGAGGATTTGACTGGTCGACCCGGTTTGTATGATAAGGTTAAGAAGAAACAGACTGGTAACGTTAGCCACCATTG